GGCAGCAATAATCAACTGGAAGCTCTTGTCGAACCAGTGATTGGTGCCGTCGCCCATGAGGAACGTGCTGCTCACTTCCTCGGGCGTTGCAGGGGACTCGTGCTCCAAACACACGACGAACAGCGCACTATCGATCTGTTCTAGACTCGCCTTGTTAACACCACTGGCTTCTAGCGAGTACTTGAGAGTCTCCACCCACGCCCAGAACATGTCCTCACAAGAACTCCATGTGGGACAGTTCTCGGGCATAACCCAGGGGTATCCCCAAACAGGATAGAGACCACCCCGGGTCTCGGGCTTCTTACGACAAGTCGTGAAGTCCTTAAGGTGAATGCGGTGTGGCGCGAGAAGCACACACCGAGCAGCCTCCACGTTGTCGACGAACAACTGTTCTTTCTGAACAAGGGCTCGTTCATAGATGCCCCTAGAAGTGTGGCCGCCCACAAGGCCACGAGGAGCGACGAGAAGCTCTAAGAAGAGGTCAGCCCCAGAGCTCTCCTCGGGAGGCCAATACCCTCTTGAGTTGATGGCAGCTCCCTGGCTGACGGGTGCCGCCACCGAACCCCCACGCACACGCTGGGCAGCTTGGAAATCCTCCTGCTGCTGGTCGAGGTCATTCGAGACCTCCCGGGGCTCAACAATGGCACCCTCCTCTTCCTCTTCTTCCTCCTTCTCCTCCTCTTCATCCGAGGAGCCGAAGATACTCCGATAGGAGCGACGAGTCTCCTTCTCCTCGCGGAGTGGAGACTTAGAGGCAGCATTCTTCTTTGAGGGCTTGGCGCCTTCGGCTTTGGAGGCCTTAGCACGCGCAAGACCCTCGGCAAGCGAGAGACGTTTGCGAGGACTCCCTTCCTCATCGCCACCGGCTTTGGGAGTGCCCTTAGCCTTAACGGCCGGACTCTCAGAGCGCACAGAGGTCCTGGGACTGTGATCACCGTGATCACTAGCGGACGACTGCACGCTGTCTTCTTTGTGCTCACTGAGCACTGGGCTGTGCCCTCCCACAGAGCCCGCAGGAGCATCATGAGTGCTCTCGGACTCGGCATCGTCCTCACTGCCCGAGTTGAACTCACGTTCTACGAACCGAGGGTTCGGACGATTGTCTGAAGACGAGGGCGACGGACTGCGGCGCCTGCTTGCGCGCTTGTCCGCAGCCGCGTCACCCGAGGATCCGATCGCCTCGGAGGCCACCTGAGTATCCTCCTTAAGTGCAGAGCCTTTGCCGTGAGGCTTAGTGCTCTTGGCCTGCGCCTTACCGGCTGCAGCCTTGGAGCGTGTCTTAGCACCGCTCTTAGCAGTGCCACGAGGCATGTTAACGGTCGAAGTGGAGACCTTGACGAAGAGCGCACAGGTTGCTGCTCGAGGCTCTAACTGTGAAGTGAGCCTCCGCCGCGCTCGCGCGGCCGAGTCGATGGTTTTCGACTTTGAGAATGAGAGTTTGTGACGAACATCTCTTCATTCTGATTGGTCGGTAAACCGAACCTAAGTGGGGGAGGATGTAACGGGGTACGTAGCACTAAGTGTACCCTGGTTACATGAAGTGTGACACTTCACACTTCAGGAGTATGACATGTCATACTCCGGGATATTTGGTACAAGGTACCAAGGTCATTCAAAACCAACCATTGGTTTTATGACATTGCATTTCTATAGGTAACTGATAGTTTGTATTAACCTCAAACTTAACCTACCTATAAATATACTCAGTTTACAATCTACCTTATTTAGGTCACTTCGCCCTCTTTAATTGAAGAGGGGACCTGTGAACTGCCGTTCACTGAGAGTTTGTATACTCTCGGAAGATAACTTCCTCTAGCGCAAGGTGCTGTGTGACTCCGTCACATGCACGGTCCAAAGAGACCCGAAGACGCTTGAACGGGCGCATCGAAGAAAAATTAAAAAGTGAGCTCAGAAAATACCGTCTAGTTAATGTCGTCAATACAATGCACAGATCACTACCTGCTCTTTCACTGGAACAAACGTCAGCTTATTACAGTCAGCAATTCGTAGCAACCCTATTACTGCAATATATTGTCGACAATTCAAACAATAGATCGCAAATAATTTCATTTCAAAGAAGGCATAAACAAAGAAACCCCTAGAATATATTTGATCCCCCTCAATAAAAAATAGCCTTTTTGATAATAGAAAAAAATATTTTCTTAATTTCTCCGAATGCATCCCGATTTTTAGTCAAGTGGTTTCCATTTCCGCCTTGCAAGATGTAAGCAATGTTGTTCTTGATAAACTTGTAGAGTCTCTCCATTGCGACAGCTCCTCTCTTTAAATTGATAGCATCGAGATATGTTCTTACAATCGAAGATTGGCGGCAATTCTCCTGTTTCGTAGTAGATATGAAGCTTCGGAAAATGAGGAACAGTAACGTCATCACCTTTCTTATCTTTCTTTTCTTTATTTTCCTTGATCTCCTTCGGTTCATATTCTGCTTTCCACTTGTTGTATTCAATTGGATTAGCTGCATCAGCAATATAAAACTCTGTCAATTCAGGATGTTACACGTTTCCCAATCGTTAAACACTCTCAATGCGGCAGCTTAATCAAACCGATCTGTCATTGTCTGTAGAATACACAAATAAGTTTTACGCATCAGACCAAGATCGACGTGTTGTTTCTTGTATAGCATACTTGCCAAGTTCCAAGTATTATTGTTATCATTGAACCATGACCACTTCATCAAACAACACAGGTCGTATAGACGATGATCGTAGATCTTTTTTGAAACGCAGTTTTGAGCAACATCCAGCTCGTCAATCATGATTGGTATGTTGATCATCATCTGCTCGCTCTTACAATAGAAATGTCTTAGGATTTTGTTGCCTTTTTGAACGTAAAAGCAATAGCGATATCCACCAAAGTACGCATTGCTGTCTATCATTTCGATCCTTTAATATCCAAGTTCTTGCTAGCAATGTATTCGTTGAACGCTCCGATGACATCCATGGTCTAAAAAAAAATCTTAAACGTCGAACTGCTTTACTTTGCCCGTTTCGATGTACTGCTCGAATACCCGTTTCGATGTACTGCTCGAAGAAGAACTCGTTTTCTGCCTCTGCGATCTCTACTGCGTAATCATTCGAATTTTTTAATTCCGATTTCGAACTTTGACCCTCTTTATACCACGCTATCCGCGATCACCGGTGCGATAATCGACTCATCCAATTCTGGAACTTTGCTTACATCGATATTCGAGATTTCGACGGGCTTGATCGCCAATGGGGCTGGCGTACGAGCAGCATCAGCAATAGCTGGGGTATTTGGTTGAGGCGACATTTCTTCTATCATATTAGTCTCTCCGACAATAATTTCCTCTCGATCAATAATAATCGCGTGCTTGCCGCATCGCTCTTTGTTGCGAGCAAGCTTACACTGCTCCACGTTGCTTTTAATAAAGTTGCACATTTTTCGTATATGTATGACTATGGTTATGTTTGTATATTCTATATAGACTTCGCTTAAGATGGACTCATCACTTATTTATGTATGGAATTTTCAGCAGCCTACGCGTTATCGTTCATAATTGTTTTTATGATGTCTGACTACTACAATCCTGTAGTATTTACACATTAGCGGACTCATAACTTTTTTTATGATGTCTGACTACTAAAATTCCGCACTATTTACACATTAGCGGCATGTGTGATTATTTTGTATTCTTTATCGAAACAGGGGGGTGTTGCTATGTTTCGATACACTTAGATGATTGCTGTGGGCGGCATTGTGTCCGGCTTGCGTCCACTTTTATGTCCATCTTTCTTTCAGCGATAGCAGCTTTAGATCAATCTATATATCTCAGTGTCCAGGTGTCTATCTTTTTTTTGTTTTTTAAAGAATATTAAAATAAGTAAAATGGGGTATTGGGGGTAAATTTAAAAAACATTTAATTCTAAAATGGATTTCTTCCCCACGCTGGGCATGCCCCGCATTTATCTGAGTTCATAACATTAGAAGTGTTCATAACTGATATCGTTGCTTCTGATAACTACTACGTAGTAGAATCAAGGGGGCACCTTATCTGATCTGAGTGACGACGCTGGTACGGTGATTGTCATTTCAGAGGTTTTGCATGGGTGCATTTAAATAATGAAACTGTGCGACGACGCCGGGCAGCAGGATAGGAGCGAGCGTAGCACGCAGGTGGCCGATGAGTTCACCAGCGCGTAACTCTGATGGACAAGTCCAGATGCCGATAGCGCCAGGGAACGCGGGCACATTTCCAGGTGCGAGTCCAGCGGGAATGACGACTGCAGACGGGTTGACGCTCATAGCCTGTAGGTTGAAGATAACTGTTGGTGGATCGAGCAGCTTCGCGAGCGCGGGATACTTCTTGCCCAGCTCGTCAAGCAGATGCATGATCTTTCGCCCAAGGTCGATCGCGCGACCGTCGACTTGATGGAGCGTGCCAATGCCCTGCATGAACGACAGCAATGGCCATAACTTGAAAAGATCCTTGTCGATGGTGCAGATCATCACGTCTTCGGGGAAACAGTCTCGCCCGGCGGCCTCGATCTCTTCGCCCGTCTTCCAGACAGCGCCACTTGGTTGAAGACAGTCATCACGGCTGAGGCAGTGCTCTCGTGCGTCAACCTACAGATAAAGTTAGAGAACATCAAAGACCGAGGTTCCATAGGTGGCGGCAAGTAACACCCACATACCTTCTCGAGGCGCTTGATGAGTTGAACGAATTTGCCTTTGATCTGTAAGCTCAGATAGCTATTGGGAGGCGCATGCTGCACAAGGAAGATGCAGCGCTCGATGACGTCTTCGTCGGTGAGATCTCCAGCGCGGTTGAACTCGCTGAAAAACGTAAGTGTTTCGGCCTCAGTGAGCTTGGCGTTTCGCGGGATATCTCGCCAGCGGCGCTCAGAGACCTGAACTCCGAGACTTCTTGCGTCTCGCGGTTCCTCTTCCTCCATGTCGTCCTCCTCATGACCGCTGCGTACCCGCTTCATCGCCCCTGCTCGTCGTCCGCACCACCCGCTTTGTGCTGCTGATCGTATGGAGTATATCCTTTTCGCCTCCTCCTTCGCATATAAGAGCACCGAGAGTACCCCTAGACACCCTACTATTAATACATGTACATGAATGCACAGACTATCTATGAACAATTTGTAATAAAAGAAATTAACAAAAAAAAATTAAGGGCATTAAAAATCCAAGCTTCAAATCACCAAAAGTCCCTTCGAGTCTTTTGAGAGCTACCGGTACCATACTTTATAAAATAAAGTAGCTTTCTCCAAACAAGGCAGGTGTATCACCACGTGCGATAACGCAAGTGCAGACATGCAGTCGGAGCATGCACGACCGAAGTACAGTATGTCCAATTCGGGCATACTTCGGTTGAATGTCAAAAAAATACTTACCGGTACATGTATTGCAATACTTGTAGCATAAAAAATACCGGCATGAGAGTGAGTGCGCTACACGGGTAGAGGAAAAATGACAAAACATGGTGTGATCCAGATAAACAGGACAAAAAAGACTTATTGTGACAAAATATGGCTGCTCGAAAACTTTTATCTTTCTTGGAGGCAGGACATTACCACACCAGGTTTTGTCATTTTCATGGTGGGCCTTACATAAGCAACGTGTTCGTTGGTTGGGTCCTCGTTGACGTAGTAGTAGAAATTCAGGACCATAGGCCGCGAAGAGTGTCTGCGCTGAGTACGGAGATTCACCGACTCACTCCTTTCTTGAGGACATCACGGTGTTGTTTCTTATAGTACCGCACTCGCTCGCGCTCATTTTTCTTTAGGCGCCGTTGCTCTTGTCTCTTTCGCACTGCAGTTTTACTGCACGAAAACTTCTTCTTCCGGTGTATCTTCAGTGCGTTGGGTGACAAAAGCCTTTTCTTGCAAAGATGGCATACTGCTGTCCTTTCCTCGCGCGTGCCATCTTTTCGAATGACAAAGGTTTCCCAGAGAAAACGCATAGTCCCATGGTTGTACCTCTCATATTTTAAAATAAGCCAAATATTTCTTAATAAATAGATGTAAAATTTGAGTCAAAACCGTTTTGGGGCAGAAATCTGCAAAAACATACCAGAACCTTCAAAATATGGCAGGAGGTAAAACCAAGTTTTGTTTTTGCTTCTGCGTCCTATGACTTAAATATCACCACAATTTGACATATAAACCTTTCCGTCGCCGACGCTAGTTACTTTTCAGGTACATGTAACACCATATTTTGTCACAATAAGTTTTTTTGTCATGTTTATCTGGATCACACCATGTTTTGTCATTTTCCTGGTTGGGAGAAGTTTGTGGTCGAGTGTTGGTGCAGCGGACACGGTTGAGCCTTGGTTACAAGGAGAACCAACAGTACATGTAATTAACATAAGTTACGAAACCAGTTAAGGTCAGGGCTATTTTTTCAGGACAACGTGAATACCGCTAACAAGGTATTTAAGTAAAAAGTGTTTGCGGCTTTACTTGAAAAAAAAAAACTAGTGTTGAACGGGGGCATCGTTTAGTGTGATGCCGCATCAGACTAAAACAAAGTGGCAGACGGTCTACAACACACCCCTCCACAACATAAAGAAGCCACCCGCAAGCTTTCATATGAATAAAATTTGCTGGTGGAAAGTTGCTGTCTTTTGATTCTAATTGAGCATTGAGCATTGTGGTTGCGGAGATAGTAATATCAGACCTGTGGCTTCCCACGGAGGAAATACCATCGGTCAGTAGAAAACTACTGATCTGTCCCCAACGCGGCGCTGCCTGCACAACTACTGATTTCACAGCTACTGGGGTGCTGTTAAGTTCGCATTTGCATTTTCTTTTAGTGCTGCCTCGTTTGGTGTTAAGTTCGCATTTGCATTTTCTCTTAGTCCTGCCTCGTTTGGTCTATCAGTCTCTGACTCCGGCGCGTTGGCTGCTCGCGACGCTGGGTTCGTCTTCCCCGCGTAGATTGATAGACCCAGACGAAATTGACTGACTCGTGTTCGAACACCATCTTTAGGCGCGCTGGCACGTTGGTACTTGGCTCCCACGTCAACTCTGTGTACCCCACCCATTGAATAAGGTAGTATACGAAGTTATTGACCCACCGTTTGGCGTATATTCTTTCTACCTCGAAGAGCTAAGCATTGTCTCCTCTACGAGCTCGGCGCTCGTTTGCAAAAAGACCTCCTCTTCTACTGACAACGTCACGTAACCCACCACCTATGGACGATGCACGCTCGGCGTCCAGCTCTCGGTCGACTTCTTTCGGTATGCTAGCTTCTCTGCTTAGACGAAGCTGCCAAAAGGAGCTGTCCAAACGTCGCTGGATCGTTCGGGCGTGACGCTGTCGGGGGTTGAGCGGAGGCATCGACCAAAATGGCGAATGCCACCGAAGTGCACTCCACAAAAACAACCATATAAATAAAGGCGTTTTGAGCAGCTAAAAAATAGTACACAGAAATAACATGTTGACGTTGAAGTAGCTGGGTACACGACGTATCCAACTGGTTACTCTCAGGGTACGTTAGTAGAGTTCTATCTACTCACAGAGATTGACTCCCCAGTCCGTTTGCTGCTGATATTTATTGAGAGTGAGGATCAGTAAGATAATCTATTGGAAAGAAATACCTTAATTATTAATCAGCATGCAACGATTGCAATTGTTTGTGTCGTTAGTTTCCTTAAAGTTTGAGCCTATTGGGTGAATTGTAAATGGAAAAGTCGTCCCTACAAAGCATTTTTTTGCTTTTTTACGTGCATGTTTCGGATGTGGTCCCGGTTTCTTACCTCTTTTGCCAATTCGCTCGGGCTCCGGTGCTAGTTGTGGTATCTTTGTTTGCGGGTTGGTTACGAGGCTTTCTGTCGTTGGCCACGGGAGAAACTTAAACGTGTAGGTATCCTTGAAGTGCCCAATTGAAAGCCGTTGTGCGTCGTACAGTTCTTCAAGTCTCATACCATGTTTGGTAGCTGCACAAATCGCGTGTACACAGGGAAATTGTTCGTCCTCCCAATTTCCACAAGTGCCCAATCTGCTGCTTCATTTCTTTTATCAGACATCAATTGGCCGAGTTTATAAGCAATACAGGTTAAACGCATCAAGCGGTTTTGAGCTGCGCAGATCTTTCCCCATCCAATTATTGGCTTGTTCGGAGATGTTTGAAGTAATTTCATCGTATGTTGACAGGCCAAATTTCTCGAAGAACTTATACTTAACCCAGTTTTCAGTGGGAAGCACTAGTCTCTGTTCGGTACCGCTCGGTGTGATTACCTCAGTCTTCTTAGTGAGGTATTCTGGGACTTCTCAATTTGAAATCTCCAACTCGTTCATGTACAAGTTGTAGTCATTTTCACAGTCGGAACGAGCGATAGAGCAGATTGTTGCTCTGTCCTTGAAGAGAGAGTTCTATGGTGGCTCTGGTGATATTATCCATGATATGGCGGAGGCAGAAGCCGGTGTCCAGCGGATGGGAAAACTTCGGCAACTGCAGAAATAAGACCCCTTTGACGATCAGACAAAATCGTGATTCTCTCTACTTTAATTGCATCTTTGACTGCCCTCAAAAACCAAACCCAGTTGTCGTAATTTTCGGTTGGTACCAGAGCAAAACCCAAAAGGTATGATATGATTGTTGTAGTCCTTTGTAGTGGCAACAAGAAAAACCCCTCGCTTGTTCATGTCTTCCTGTAAATGAGCGCCATCAAAACTAATCAAATTTTTAGTCATACTCACAATGTGGGCGCCTGCGTTCGGGACAATGCAAGCACGCTTGAAGGTCACGCCATCGCTCTCGCTCTCATATCGCCACAAGGAACCGGGATTCTTACTTGCCAGAAGCTCCAAGTACGACTTCAATTTTTGGTAGCTCTCGAGTAAATCTCCATGCAATTTTTCGTCCAGGTCCTGCTTGATCCTAGAAATCGAAGATTTGCTGACATTGATGCCCTTCCCTTTAAAAAACTTCTGCACAGCTTTCCCTGAAAGAGTTGAAGTTGAGTTGGCATGAGCTGGCAGAATTTCACGTGCTACTACAGCCGATAGTTGAGCTTCACGGACAGACCGGTTCCTTTTCGCCTTTTTTTCACGAGGGATATTTCCCTCCGCGAGTGGTTTCTGAGTAGATCCAATGTTTTTGAGATGGTTGTGGGCGAAGTTGGCTTGAGTAATCTTCCATACCCCATTCTTTCCGTGTACATTGATGAAGAATGGGCAGCTTAGATCTTTTGCCGGGGTAACTTTATCAAAGAACTCCATGCCATTTAGTTTTTTGCAGACGTACTTCGCGTTTCCTGAGTTGTTTGGCTTCACACTCGAAGATTGTACAATCAACTGGAATCCACATACCGTTGCAAAATCGTCACATGTTGCCCTTGCTGCTTTTTGTGTTGGAAACTCAGTGTCTGCAATATTGGTTCGCGTCGCGTATACTCCCCCATACTTTTGGATGGAGCGGTCTGAGGTATCAACTTTTGCGTCTTCCCTCAAAACACCCATGCTTATAGCTGTAGCGATGTCAGAAAGATCTACCACGAAGGGAGAACTCCCATAATTCGGAGGCGGCTTTCGAGGCATGGTACGCTTAGGGCAAAAGCGGTTTTGCTGAAGGCAGCAGAAATGTAGCTATGATTAGAGTTAGGTACGGATCGAACTTAATCATTTTCTACTGATTGCCGTCTTTTCTGCGCCGCGTTGGGGACAGATCAGTAGTTTTCTACTGACCGATGGTATTTCCTCCTTCCCACGCCGCCACGCACGCGAGGATTAGCAAGTTGGCACGAAAAAGCGCCAGCAGGAGTGTGATAACGCCTCGTTGTAGATGTCTGATGATGGAATTCCAGGAGTCCTGGCAGAGCGCATCAAGGCGCTAAAACTACAATACACGTATCAGTGATAATGCCTACATTTGCTCCAGCGAGTTCAAGCAGTTTAATTAATGTGCTCGTTTTTATGAGAATTGCTCGTCGAAAGATTAAAAGTGGATGTTGAAGTGCCCTTCGTAACGGCTCAAATAGCTTGGATTCACTATGGTGAAGGAATTATGTCTAGCCAATCGCATCAGTCTCTCCCGGGTGATGTCATTTCCCGTGTCACTGACATCAGGCGCCGCCCTTGCAACTGGGAACAGATCCGCTCCCTCCCTTGCAGCTTGCAAGTCACACTTTGTATTTGGCAACCTCCAATCCAAGTTCTAGCTCTTCAACTCTTCCTACTCACATCCACAATGGTCAAGTACGTGCTCACGGGTGTTGGCGGCAACATTGGCGGCCACGCGGCTGACCACGCTGTCGAGATCAAGAAGCCCGAGGACGTTCTGGTGCTCACCAGCTCGGACGTTTCCAAGCTCAACCCCGAGCGCGTCGCGGCCTGGAAAGCCAAGGGCGCTATTGTCGAGCAGGCTGACTACCTCGACGTGGACAGCCTCAAGAAGGTGTTTGAGGGCGCAGAAGCCATCGCCTTCATCTCGACGTGGCTCATCGGTGACGGGCGTCGTGGCCAGATGAAGAACTGTATTAAGGCTGCTAAGGAGACGGGTGTCAAACGTGTGTGCTACACTTCGTTCGTGGGTGCCGGATCGGACAAGCCTAACGAGGAGGTGCCGTTCCTACCCCAGGACCACCAGTTCACCGAGCAGCAGATCTACGCGTCGGGTCTGGACTACAACATCCAGCGTGACTACCTGTACCAGGACAACACGCCTCGCTTCTTCGCTCAGTCGTGGCACTTCACGGAGGACCGTTGGCTCTCCAACAGCCACGACGTTCCCGGTGCGTACGTCGCCATCTCGGACTGTGGTCGCGTGTTCGCTGCTCTGCTCCTTGGCAAGCAGGAGAAGAACACCGTCGTGGAAGTAACGGGCCCCGAGGCCGTCACGGACCGCGACATGTTCGAGTGGATGAACTCGATCAGCGGCTACAAGGGCCAGTTCGTTGACTTGCCCGATGAGGAGCTTCGTGCCTACTGGCTCGGCCGTGGTCTGCCCACCGACGTGTACGGAGACTTCTCCAAGCTCCCTATGAAGCTGTGTATCGGCGACCTGCTGTGCTGCGGTGAAATGCTGGCCAACGGCTCCATGAGCAAGGTGACGGACACAGTTGAGCGTCTGACTGGCCGCAAGCCTCTGGGCTACAAGGAGAATTTGCTCCAGTACAAGGAGATCTTCCCCAAGAACCAATAAGTCGTTCCGTTAGATTAGCGCAGTACTAGCGTTCAACACTCTATCGCGTGCTGTAAACACGTCAATGAAGTCAGTTTATGGAAAATTTTAGAGCTCGAAACATTTACTTTCATTCCTTCCTTCTAACTCGAACTCTAACAGGGTCACGCACATACAACTACGACTTCTTTTCGTCTTGATCTCATTTCATTCGATAGGGTCGAATGGGTACACCCAAGGGTGTGAAGGCCCACTCTCCAGTGTCCGTATCGTCGTCGTCTTCTTCTTCCTCTTCAATCAAGTCGCTCTCGACGACAGACTTGGACTGTTGATAGGGCTCCTGCGATTGAGACGATGGCTGGGCTTGCGTCGTGAGCTGCGAAATAGTGGCTGTATCGGACTGCAACCGTCTTCTCCCTTGGTTCGATCGGGTCTTTTGCAAAGCCGGAGGGACGGGAAGGCCAGCTTTGCCAAGACACATGAAGCAGATGTGCATAGGCACAAGACCCACAGCGTGCAGATCGACCTGCTCTTTCGAGACACAGGATCGGCAGACCACGTGTCCGCACGAGTGACAGTTCACTCGATTCGACAGAACTTGGAACGCCTTGTGGCACTCTTTGCAGCTCTTGGCAGAGAGTTTGGACAACCACTGGGTTTTCATGACGAACGTCCGCGAGTCGAGATTCTTGCGACGGAAGTGCGAGCACAGACGCACGAGGTTATCGCCAAACCGCTCCATCAACAGGCGAGCAGTGAGGCCCGGCGCCCAGCCGCCAGGCTCTAGTCCGACCATGTACACAATCTTCGTGTAGTTCTGTTCGTTGTTCGATGACGACCGTCTACCTGAACGACGAAGGAAAAAGCCCGATCGAAACATTGTACTGGGCTCGAGACCTGGCTTGTTACTCGCTTCAGCAAACTCCGGGTCGTCGATGGAATCCCACAGACAGTAGCCGATAGTAGATCCGTCTGCTTGGTGGATAATATCCGTGGCCACTGCAAGGCAAACCTCTCGGTTTACCATTAAACCAGGCGCCTGGTAGCTGGAGTATCGAACGTACATAGAGTTCATAGGTCGTTTTTCCGTTGGTCGACGTAGAACTGACAGGACTCGAGCTTCCAGCAGACTGTCGGACAACACGCGGTTGTTCCGTACCACGGAGTCGGCGTCGGGTACCACGAAGAGTTTCATAATCTCGTCCACCGTCGCGTGCGAGTGGCTCACGCAACAGAAGCGCGTCTGTCCGGGTTTGACGCTGCTCTCGTCCATAAAGTATGAAATATCCTTCTTACGAAGCTTGGGTTTCCACTGCACGCTGCTCGAGTTATCCGACAGCATCGACGCCATCACGTACTGCACAGATTCCGTCATGCGGTTGATTATCTCGCGACGACGGACAGGCGACAACTCAATGTACGTGTCAGTACTGCTGGAACTACCGCTACTGGCCGATTTATCGCTATGGTGCCTCGAAATCTTCTGTGACGAGCGCGGGGGCTGCACAGGAGAACCGCTGCCGGGTTGCATGGAGCGCTCTCGGCCAGCAAGAACCTGTCGGCGAGGCTGGCTTGCTTCAGTACCACCGGAATCAGTGCCGACCGGGCGTGACGGACGCAGAGGCCGGTCAGACTGTCGACGGGGCTGTCGACCATCTTGACGCTGGTTCAGAGCTAGCTGGGGGTCTAAGAAGTGTCCGAAGGCCTCACGCCGTTCAGGGTTTTGTCGTGGAGGCCGAATCTCGTGTTGCGAATGTCGTCGAGGTGCCTCTGGAGTCTGCTGAGTCGACCGAGGCTGTCGCTGGCTCACTGGCTCATGTCGACGCGAACCCCTTCGCTGGGATGGCCGTATATCTTGCTGTATCGGCCGTGAATGCTGCTGCGACGGCTGTGGGGGCTGTTGTGGCGGTCTTTTGGTCCGTTCGAGCGGCTTCTTGGTCTGCGGAAAGGCACCGGAGGTCTGGTCGAACGGCCGAAGAGTTTCCTCAAAGTTGGTGGCGCTTTGGTTTGCAGTCTGCCGCGACGGCTTCGAGACTAGCTTGGCGCTGCTGCTCACTCCCCAGCTTGTGGCCGTTGGAGACGTTGTCCATCCGTCTTGGGCGGCGCTCATGGTCTCCCCTGCGGATCACGGTCTGTGTGCTGAGACAGCGGATTCGCTTGTGAGCATGATGATGAAACCGATCAGAGCAGCTTGCTCTTTTCCTGCGGATGTGCTGTCCAGCGAGCGTCAAGATGCAACGCTAGACAAGGCAACTTGCCTTAGGCAAGCTGTCTGCAAGCTAAGCTAGCACAGGCGCCGCCAAGCCCCTACTGAAGTTGTTGTCAACCTTTCGGAGAGACTTCCGTCTACTGTACCACTAAGTTGGATTCTCCAACCAGCAGAAGTGCACTAAGACATGCGGTGCTCACGTCTCCTTTGATGCTCGATTGACACTTCCACCCAGCAGATGGTATCCATTACACTGTCCAATTTTAATATAAGTACTTTAAACAGTGTATTCATGTCTATCGGTGTATCTCTGTATCGGTACATGTATCACTTGGCAAGTACCGGTACTGTACATGTACGACTTGCAAGGTTGGGTGATTTAATCAACAGCGTTCATCATCACCTGTTGAATCGACAGCGCTCTCCCGATTACCCCACCTGTATCCCGAGAAAGACCAGCACGTATTCGGTAAACAAACTTTGTTTCAAGCCGTTTTGGAGAGAGTTTACGGCAAACTATCTACGTCGCCTCTTTGAAAAGGGCGGACTCAACCATAAAGCACCCCAGGAACAGAGCGCGATAGGTTACATCCCATGCTTTGCGCTCGTGTGGTGTCCAACACAATTGGTGGCAAGATCCTTTTTTTTAAAAATACTTGTATGTAAGGTATGATTACCAGTACCAAGGTACCAGCCCGCAGAGCCATATCAAGGAGATGGCAACAAGAACATGTACAAGTACTCTCAATAAAGGACGTCGTAATACAGTAGAATATTTGAGAAGTATTCCTTAGAGAGCTACTCCTTCCCGTCGTGTTATAGCAGCTGCATGTGCCGGGCTGAAAGATCATCATGCTTTCGGCCGAAGCTTTCTGTAGGACACCAACGATCGGTTGGGCTATCCAAATAGCTATGTGAAAGGGAAATTGAAATCAAAAACGGCTCCTTAAAATACCAGTTTTGAGATTGTAAGAAAAAAAACGATCTATCTATGCCAAACTCACGCTCCGAAAGTTTTGAAATGCCCAAAGTATAGGCGTGGGATTTGCGTTTGCGCGCTTTTGTGGCTTCCACAAGTTGGGCGTGTGGCTTGACTCAAGCCGATTGAATGCCGTTCCCTTCACTGAGCCGTTGGCCGTGAATCGATATTCTTGGCCACTCTTCTTTATCTTTCCTGGGGCGGATTGCATGCTCTTGGAAGGTGATCTTATCTATCTATAATAGCATTACCCCTAATGTTTTAGTAACTTAGTTAAACTATTAGTAATACAGCTCAACGTGGATAGCAGCTCTCAGTCGAATGGATACTTCCCTACCGATCATTGTCATGGTTGTGATCATGCCCCGGCACGCATCCTACTGCAGTAAGACGAAAGGCTATTCCGACAAAACGAGAGAACCAGAAGTCGAGCATAAACCTCTCAACATGGTGAAATTTGGCACAATGCAAATGGCTTTCCTCGTACAACCGGTATTGATAGGCCATCAAGTTGAGCAGGATACGAAAAGCTCGACTGTGAAATCCATTAAATAAATCGCGAAAACAAATAAGTCACAATACCGGTATATTTGTAAGATACTACTATTAATACATGTAAGCACAAGTAGTACTACATTGAATCTACATTTCCTTTTCAAAACGCGTTGTTGGCTGCTGCTATTTGATTGGCTTGCTGCTTTTACTGTAGTAGCTCTTTGCTTTGAAGTACTTGTAATAATACATGTACCTAGAAATGCTTCTAAGCACCGGATACAAACCTTCACGATGTTCTATTGACTCATTCGACAGATATACACAACTACACAATCACAGACAACTTCGATCGTTGTTCTAGACATCTAAACATACGCCGCCATCCGTGACGGTCGAACAGGGACTCCCATGGTCGTAATAGCCCACTCGCCGTCATCCGTGTCCTCGTCGCTACCCACATCGGTGTAGACGACAGAGATGGTTTGTCGAAATGCACTGGCGGTCTCCGACTGATGGCGTCTTTGCCTCAGACTCGCACGAGTCTTCCGAGTCGATGCAGGAGCTGGAAGTCCAGCCTTCTCGAGGCACCAAAAGCAGACGTGGATAGGGACGAGACCAACGGTATGCACCTCTACCGATTCCTTGGAGACACACGGACGACACACAACGTGACCGCACGCGTGGCAGTTCACACGATTCGAGAGCACTTGGAACGTCTTGTCGCACTGTTTGCAGCTCTTGGCCGCGCACTTGGACTCCCACTCCGTCTTGATGACGAAAGTACTCGGATCCAGATACTTTCGACGGAAATGAGTGCGCACACGCTCGAGCGTTGACCCGTGCTTCTCCATCCGAAGCCGAGCCGTGAGTCCAGACGCCCAGGCTCCCGTCTTTAAGCCGACCATGTAGATCATCTTGGTTTGTCCTTGCATCGAGTCCCCGGTCGTCCGTCCAGGGTGGCGGAAGAAGAAACCCGAACGGAACATCGTGCAGACGTCGAAGCCCGGCTGTTTCACGGTGTCAAGGAACTCCAGATCATCCACCGAGTCCCACAGACAGTAGCCGATGGTCGATCCGTCTGGCTGGCGGAACATGTCGGTGGCTACAGCCACACACATGTCCCGGTTCGCCAGCGGTCCCGGCGTCTGGAAAGTCGAGTAGCGCAGGTACAGCGAATGCATGGGCCGCTGCCTGGTCGGACGGCGTAGAACCGACACGATCTTGGCGTCAATGACGTTATCGAAGACCAGTTTGTTGTTGTGCAGCACCGAGTCGACGTCGGTGGGGATGAACAGACTCATGATCTCGTCCACCGTCGCGTGCGTGTGGCTCACGCAGCAGAACCGCGTCTGTCCGGGCTTGACGCTCGTCTCGTCCGCATAGTACGAGGTGTTCTTCTTCTGGAACTTGGTCTTCCAGAGCTCGTCGTTCTTGTCACCAGGCAGCATCGATGACATGACTTTCTTCACAGACCTACCGACACGATCCATGATCTCGCGGCGTTGAACAGACGACAACCGGCCTTGTGGTGGAGCAGCAGCAGTTTTCTCGGCACCACGTGGTAGTCCCAACGAGACCTCCAACGACGGTCTGGTGCTGTATTGGCGACCGGTGCGCTTCGACTTGTGCTCCGTCGCCAGCTCCGAGAGTGTCAAACCTCGTCTCGGCGCGATTGTCTGGTCAAATGTTGGCTGAGGCGGCTGTGAGGGCTGTCGAGGCTTTGAACGTCGAGGTGGACGCTCAGATGACCGAGGCTCTCTTAGTGACGGCTGCGCCAACGGATGTGGACGTTGTTGCACTCGCTGAGACGGCTGCAACGACTGTCGAGAACGCTGTGTGGCTGGTCGAATCTCCTTTGAGAAATCGACCGACTGCCGTGCACGCGGCTTGATCTGCTGCGAGAGCCTCATGGACTGGTGAGACGGCCTCATGGTTTGATCAAAGGAATGCAGAGGCTCCTCGAAAGGCCGGAGCGTTTTGTGGAAGTTGATGGTTTGCTCTGGTACTTGAGAGCTCAGCAAGGCACCACCACTGACACCCCAACTTGGTCTGCTACTCATTTTTGTCTGAATGAGGCCCACAAAGTGATAGCGAGACGGTCAATTGGCAAGTGAGCCCTTGAGCCAAGAGTTTGGCAGACCGAGCGACCGTCGCGATTTCGTATGGTGTGTCTTTCAGATCTGCTCTTTGTCATCTTGATGCCACTCCAGTCGACATAAATGCCTCAAAGAGCAGATATTGCACCCTAGCAGTTGGTGACGTCGAGAGTTCGTGCCTTCTCTCGATGCACCCGTTTGATTCGAGCTTTGATAGTAACTGTTAGTGCTTTCTCCTGATACAGGTGGGGTAGCAAAACGATCGGATGAATGTCGAAGTAACCTCCGGCCGTTGAGCGGAGGGCCATTTCTCAAGCCTCCTGTCGGCTGAGGCGACACAAGTGTCCAACATGGCGGTGCCTCTGGTGTTCCGGCCATTATGCTGGCGGCAACTTGCACTCCGCATCTCGACATTGGATTCTCGTTGCTTCTCTCTCTTGATCGATCAATCGATGCACAGAAGCAAATCCTGCTGGCAAATCTTTGCGTTGAGTCAGACATCGTTGATCGTTCCACAACACGAGCTGCTGTTCCGGCCTATTGCGCCGTTCTTCGTCGAATGAACAAAGACAAGTTTTTTTTTCTCTCCATGACAAGGCTTATGCTGATGGTTGATGGTTGATGGTCCCTTCACGCACGCTTTTAGCGATCAAAGTGACAGCTCCAAGTGGTTAGGAGAATCAGCGCAACAGCACTCGTCTCAACGTCATGTTACCGACGTTTGTGCAACACTTTCCCACTTGTCAACAAGAAAACAAGAATTCAATGTTAAACCACGACAGACTGAGCTGCTTAAAATATAGATTCTTCGATACTTCGAAGTATTACCGGTATATAGATGCTCTAGTTTCCAAGCTTTCAGTCTGATCTGCAGCGTAAGATCGACTAGGCTTTCGCTATCGAAGCGTATTCCAAGGAGACAGCAACACATACACACTGTTATAACTAACAGGCATTCTCCTGGTCACGTAGACTAAATGCCCTACGTCCTTATTTGTTTCCGGCTAGTGTCATCGACCGACGTACATGTATTGCAATTGTGTGTTATTTTAACTTTTGAGATTTCTTATCTCAATGATATCCCCTCCCACCTTCTTCACGGTGTCACGTCGTCGCTCCCACTCAACACGGAGTCATCACGTAGGAGATCTCTGACTCCAGATCCGTCGCTGTTGAAGCCGTCGAGCCTGTCACGACCTCCAATACCACGAAGATGCCACGCATACATTCCCTCCTCCCGCAAACAAAACTCGCAGATACGAACGCGAGTGATCCCTGCCCCACGCACACTCACCTCTTCCATGAAAAAGCATTTTTCACGTCCACAGACCACTTCTCCACATTTCTCGCAGTTGTATTTCCTCGTCAATGGGTTGAACACTCGACCGCACACATTGCACTCTAGCATTTCATTCTTTGGCGTCCACTTTGTGCGGTGTTTGAAGCTCTCCGGGTTCAGGAACCGCTTCCTGTAGTGCTGACAAACTCGACGGCAATTCCCTCCGAAGATGCTCATGTAGATTCGACCGGTTAACTGTGGAGCAACGCCTCGAATCTCGACGCCAATGATATAACAGACTTTGGTCAACGCGTTCTTCTCTCCCGAATTTCGGAAAAAGAAACCGGAATTCCACATTCTGCTGCGGATTATTTTATCCGAGTCGAATCTGTCGGGACATTCCGGAATGTCCACGGAACTCCAGAGACAGTAGCCAACTGTGGAGCCGTCGTCCATCTCGATGATGTTGGTGCATACACAGACGCAGATGTCACGCCCGCTCATGAGCGTGGGCGTGTCGAAGCTCGCGTATCGGATGTAGACGGACCTAAAGGGGTACGACCGCGTCGCTGGCTCAAGAAGCGACAAGATCTTGGCTTCTTTCACGTTACGGTACATGATGCGTACGTTCTTGAGCAGCGTCTCGGTGTTGGTGACCATGAACATCTCCATAATGTCGGGAACGGGGGCGTTCGTTTGCCCCACACAGCAGAATCGAGTGAGTCCTTTACCCACATTTTCATCCACAAAGTAGTCGATACCGTTCTTGTGCATATGAGGCTTCCAGAGCGTCAAAACCTCGTGGTCCCCTATCATGGAATGGACCACGTCATGCTCCGTATCTTGCATTAGCATCAGCATCTCCGCCTTCCGCTGGGGGGAGAGCTGAACGGCATCGTTGACTCGCTGGGAATGGCCGAATCTGCTGCTTGAAAGACTCGAGTCTGGCTGCGTTCGACGAAAAGCGTCGCGGGATTGTCGAGAATTGGGTCTCGACGACCGGAAAATCGCGCTGGGAGTCGACATGGAGGTGGAAGGCGCTTGAGTTGTCGAGCGGAAATTGAGGAATGGATAGAGGAAATGCTAGTGACGACGAGGGAACGAGTGTAGACCCACCTGCCGGTCCGGATTGCATGGAGAGGTGTGAACTCTCACGGAACGTCGACTTCAAGATCATTTTCGCGCACTTGATGACTCGAGGTAGGGGGTGGACCACTATGGCTCCTCACTTGTCCGTGTCACTTTTGTAGTCGTTGGGACGATATTTGATGCAATTGTTTCGTCAAAACGACTCGTGCATCATACTCGGGAGAAAGAAAGTTGTTAAAGGGATCCAGATGCAACCAACTGGTGCCTTAGCGGTCTTCTTCATTGCCACGAAACGATTGAGTCGTCAGTACGCTTCGTTTGGCTTCGAAGCAACGCTCTCGAGGTTTCGTCGCGGCAATGTGGCTACCACTTTTGGTGTCGTGTGGAGTCCTAAGTTGAAAGCGTCAAATGTAGCCGTTCTCCACAGCACACGTCAAATAGGAACTACTTCAGCGTAAACGAAAATAATTATCGATGGTGCGCACGGATCGTGCGCTGATTAATAAAGCTCAGGAAATCTGTCTGGTGGGTGAACGCGTGCTCTGCAGATACGATATATCTGTAGAGCATTTTTTCAATCTCGCAAGCATTACAAGCTTCTCTATCAAGGCTCCCACGACTTTCATCTTCGACCTGGCCGGACAGAAGAAGTATATTTTACGTTTCCATAACAACGTTTCTCCGCTAATACTACTTCAATTTTTAATTATGTTTATTGTTTCCTAGCTGTACTTGATTGTTTTAAGGGGGGGGGCTTGTCAGTTTCTATTTTTGGTCGTTCCCACGCCATTTGTTTTGCGAAAGTCGTTGATAACGGATTTTTTATTAACAATTTAAGGCCCCTGCTTTTCCAAATTTTTTGGTTGGGTATCAAAATCAACCTACAATGCGCACTTGGTTTTTGGGCATGCTTTGACTTTGTTTTTTAGTCCGCGGCTATAGCCCGGACCAAGAAAACTGCGAGAGTCATGCGTGTGTTAGGTGTCCAGGCGAACACATGTAGCTATGAGGACTACATGTTTGATGCAGACGAAGAAAGTTCTGCTAGTGGTAACTCTGTGGGAAGTGAAGCGGTATTGGACGGTGTTGCCAATGCCTAGAACATGGACGGGTTAAGGGAAGAGACCCCAGCGCGTAATAGCGCCAGCCATGGAAGATTGGACAAGAAGTAGTCCCACTCTCACCATTAGAGAGACGACATAAGCGAATCCAGCAGCCCTATGGATAGTGACGACGAAAGAAGTAGTGAGGTGGCTTCCAGCGGCAGTCGCAAGCGGGATCATACAGAGTGTGTTCGAAGAGCTTTACTAGGCGGGGACTGTCCATAAATATCACAACAATTGGAAGGAGTTGGACACATATCTGAAGAGGTATCAGAAACAAAATATGACAGTGCTGATAATTTCGGAGACTCAATATGTTCGGCTGCTCACCATTAGAGAGACGACATAAGCGAATCCAGCAGCCCTATGGATAGTGACGACGAAAGAAGTAGTGAGGTGGCTTCCAGCGGCAGTCGCAAGCGGGATCATACAGAGTGTGTTCGAAGAGCTTTACTAGGCGGGGACTGTCCATAAATATCACAACAATTGGAAGGAGTTGGACACATATCTGAAGAGGTACCAGAAACAAAATATGACAGTGCTGATAATTTCGGAGACTCAATATGTTCGGCTGCTCACCATTAGAGAGACGACATAAGCGAATCCAGCAGCCCTATGGATAGTGACGACGAAAGAAGTAGTGAGGTGGCTTCCAGCGGCAGTCGCAAGCGGGATCATACAGAGTGTGTTCGAAGAGCTTTACTAGGCGGGGACTGTCCATAAATATCACAGCAATTGGAAGGAGTTGGACACATATCTGAAGAGGTACCAGAAACAAAATATGACAGTGCTGATAATTTCGGAGACTCAATATGTTCGGCTGCTCACCATTAGAGAGACGACATAAGCGAATCCAGCAGCCCTATGGATAGTGACGACGAAAGAAGTAGTGAGGTGGCTTCCAGCGGCAGTCGCAAGCGGGATCATACAGAGTGTGTTCGAAGAGCTTTACTAGGCGGGGACTGTCCATAAATATCACAACACTTTATTGGTAGTTGGACACATATCTGAAGAGTATCAGAAACCAAAATAATGACAGTGCTGATAATTTCGG